GTTTCTTCTCATTTTGAGTCCTGCCACATTAGCAGAAGAAGGTCTCCAATGCTTTACTTCATCCACATCATTAAGGTTGTCTCTACTTTGAGGAGCAGCTGTTCCCCGGTTGTATTTGGAATGATCTGACTAGGTAGCAGTGAATTTGGTTTTGGTTTTTTCCAGCTTGACGGCTCATCTTCCAGCACTATGTCAGATCGTGTTTCACTGCTCGTCATAAGGTTTTCAGTGGCTAATGTTTTTCAGAAGTGGCCTGCCTCTTCCTTCCTCCTTGTTTATCTCAGTCTAGAGGCCCTGCTGCAACCTGTTTGCCTTGGGTAACACCGTGGTATTTGAAATACCAATGGTATAGCTTCCAGCATCGCAGCAACATGTAAGCCACCTCAGTATGACAGACTGACAGGCGAGTGTTGGAGCTCTTCCTGGGACCTTCCAAATTACATATCCAGTTGCTTACTCATGTTGCTCTTTGGATATTGCAAGAATGCACCTCAAGTTCACATGTCACCCCCAGACAGAATCCTGGGTGTTATTCTTGACTTCTCTATCCAGCCACCAGCTTGTTTGTTCCACTACTTTACTATCCTATTATTTCTTCATTTCTAAATCCACTACCACTGCCTATAGGGAAATGGCTCTGCCATGGTGCCCTGGAGACTTTGCATGTATCCAAATAGGCCACTCAGGCAGATGCTTAAAGTGCAGCTAATCTGTTGGCAGAATGAGTTGTGATGTTCCTGGGATATGAGAGGGTGGAGGCCTCTGAGGAGCTTGTATGGGACAGCTCCTTGCTCTTGCCTTTATCTCCCCTGGGAGGCTGTCACAGGACAGGCCTTGCCTTGCCTTGTCCTGTGTGTTTGAGCTTGATACTGACTTAATTGAATATGAATTTCTTTCTTACCTGGATTACTTGATGTCTCCAAACTGGGCTATCAGCCTCCAGGCTTACCTCTTATTCCCCTCCTCCATTATCTACAGGAGCTCTGGTAGCATAGTGACTAAAAGCACTTGACTGCTAACCAGAAGGCTGGCGGTTCAAACCCACCAGCCACTCCTCGGAAGGAAGGTTGGGC